TACGTTTTCGAGCAGAATGTTAAGTTGAATCCGGGAAACAATCTGATCTCCTTGCTTAGCGTCACCGTTGGACTCCAGGTACATACATAGTCCACGGACAATTCAATCTTTGAAAAACCCATATATTCAAATTCTTCTATTACGTGCTTTTAATCACTGATGATTCGCGATCCCTGCGGAAACAGAATTACGGTCCGATGTTTGATCTGGTCCAAAACGGGATCCCCGGCCCGGTGGAGATCGTGGGAAGGAAAGGCGACGAGAGAGTGATCAAGGACCTATCGGGTCACGTGTGGTCCTACAAGGTCGGACTACACGGCATCAACAACAAGCTTTTCAGCGTCAACTCGGCCTCTAACTGGCAAAGCAAGGACCTTCCTACCAACCGGACCATGACTTGGTACAAGGTAAAACATCAATCAGATGCATTTTCAACTGATCCCTCAATGATAATCCTCGTTTGCACACGCTTAAACCTTGATTAGTTAGTGATAATCGCTATCGTCTGTCTTGGGCGCTAGACCACGTTCAAAGTTCCACTGGGGACGGACCCGGTGGCGGTGGACTTGCAAGGGCTGGGCAAGGGCGAGGCTTGGGTCAACGGCAAGAGCATCGGCCGCTACTGGCCCAGCTACGATGCTGGTTCAGATGGCTGCAGCACCGACCCTTGTGACTACCGTGGCCCTTACGACAACAACAAGTGTGTCTCCAACTGCGGTCGCCCCACTCAAAGATGGTGAGCAAACAGGAAATTCCCCTCAAAGAATTCCAAAGAGAAATCGGTGGTTTTTATGGCTTGCTTTTCTTCCTTTCTTGTGATTAGGTACCATGTCCCGAGATCGTTCATGGAGGAGGACGTGAACACGCTGGTGCTATTCGAGGAGTTTGGCGGCAACCCGTCCCTGGTGAACTTCCAGACGGTCACCGTCGGATCCGTCTGCGCCCACGCCTATGAGAAGAAGACCCTCGAGCTTGCGTGCCAGGACCGCCCCATCTCCGCCGTCAAGTTTGCCAGCTTCGGCGACCCGCAAGGCGCGTGCGGGTCCTTTGCGAAGGGCAGCTGCGAAGGGAGCAACGACGCGATGGCCGTCCTCCAAAATGTAAATTCTTTTCTTCCTTCCTGTTTTTTCACCCGATCTTCGTTTTGCAAAGTTTTACTTGGATTCCAAATATGTTACGACTTTTCTAACATAACCCTTATGTAACTTTTTGGGGATCTTGTAGGCTTGTGTTGGCAAGCAGAATTGTTCCATCATGTCTCCGAAAACACCTTCGGGTCGACGACTTGCGGATCCATTACCAAGAGGCTGGCGGTGGAGGTCACTTGCTAGCATCTTCGTTTCACTCTTTTTCTTAGGAATAAATGCCATCATTGGTTTAGTCAATCGTGTTAAACTTCCTGCTTTCTTCCTTCTTGATAAAGCAGGTTTAGTTTCTCTATTAGGTTCTCGTCAAAATTTCAAAATTACATACTTGTCGGAGGATTCTCAGTTTTTAGGGTTTCGTGAATAATTTTGGTAGTTTTCTCTTTCTGATCATATCTCTTTCCATGTGCTCGTTTTGTTGTTTCCACCGTCGTCTGTCGATTCTGAAGGCAACAGCGCGCGTGTGCATGTGCTTGTACAGCAACTTTAGTAAATTATGCAACATAATCATTAATTTGAGTGAGCTGTTTTACGTTTTGGGAGGTGTTATTAAGGTATAAGGAAAATAAAAAGTCACCCACAAGAAAATATTTTCCGTGGCTTTTCGATACACGATTAATTTGAAGATCGGTGTTGGAATCTTTAACTTTACAGAAGAGAAAAAAGGAGTTCTCTGTGGATTTCATAGACGCCAAAACAGCACAACTGCACAAACCCTCAGCATCGGTAAAAGTTCTCACCAAGAAGTCATCATTTTCCTGTAGATTTTGATTGATCATGTGCATATAAATGAAGTTTCAAACAAGTTTATTGATGTTTATAAACTATAAAGTTTGATGGAGATTGCATGCTTTCCACCAATAAATCTAAAAGTAAATTTAATATGTGAGTCTTTATGCTTTTCAGCCTATTGAATCGTTTGCAGAATGATATTACGGGTAAATGATATCATCTAAATAGATTAATTAATTTCCATAAGTCCAAACATACACACATATTTATAGCGTAATTTTTTAGAAGCGGTCTTTCTTTGCTTACAAGTGTCCGTATAGATTTTAACCTAGTGTACAGAGATTAAGGGTGCGTTTAGAAACCACCTTTCCAAAGTCTTTTGGGCTCTAAAGGCCTTTGGGCAAATGTAAGTACAGTTTCACAAATCATTTGCAATTGCATTTCTAAAGGCTAGGCCCAAGGCATGTCTGGAGGTGTTTTGAGTATTTTCACAATGCAAATACATTTTTTTCTTTCAATTTTGCCCTCGTTGATCTTTCATAATTCCGGAAATGTCCCCACCTCACTGACGTCACCAGTGAGGGGCTGGCGTAGCCAGATCTGGTTGCTGGTGGCTGAGTTCCACCAGCAAAGGTTTGACAAATTAAAAATAAAACTAGCAAAAATCATTTATAAAGCGTAATTGTTTCCAAACAGTATTTAAATCAAAACTACTTCCCAACGTATTTTTAAATTACATTTCACCAAACACTATTTGGTTTTTGGAAAAAAAATCTTTCTCCTTTGCATTTTACCACCCTTTCCTCCAAAGGGATTCCAAACGCACCCAAAGACCTTGCATTTTGCTTTGCTGGAATGGTACTCTTGGCCCAAAGAACAACAAAAGTTCTATCATCATTTTATACCCTAATCCAATCATTTCTGTAAAATGGGCAACGAGGCAGCAATTATAGTCATATTAGAGTTTCCTTTTTTATTGCTCTTTGTATTCATTGAAAGGAGATTTCTCCGTGACAATAACCTCTTTAATGGAATTTGGGTTTCTTTTGGAAAGTTCTTTTATTAGTCTTTTTAAATATGGAATGTTTTTCATGACCCATTTTCTTCTTTCTTTTGGAAGTTCGCAATTCACTTAATTTTTCAATCGAGCTCGTGATCTTAATTTGTTCATAACTTCGTGTTGCGGAGTTTTGGAGAAACGCATGTTGTAACCAACGCCTAATCTAACTGTGTAATTATTCCGAGAAAATAAATATATATCCACCCAAATAATGATTTTTTTATTGCTGCAAAACCACCTCTATTAAAATAATAATTTTCATAATCGAATAAAATATCTTGCTATAATTTCATTTCATGTGTACAGATCGAGAGATTTCTCTTTTTCTGGGTAGCGGATAATGTCAGCGGGGGTGTGTCGGTATATTTTGAAGCAAATGAGGAAGCTTTAATGAGGGTGAAGGTTTAACGAGGGTGGGAATGATAATCATTTTGTTCTGGAATAATTTCTGGCAAAAAATGGATTTTTCTATTTTCTATTCCGTGTACGGGATTCCGAGCTCAAAATATCGTTTGATAACGATACGAAATTTCTGTTTCCGAAATAGATTTTCGTTTGATAATATCGATGTAGAATTCGTACATTGGCGGGCGGCGGCGAGCAACTAGGGTCGAGCTCTTAAAATAATTGTTATTTCAAGTAAAAAATTTTAACAAAGAAATCGAAAAAATAGAAAAATAGAATGGTTATCATTCGGTAGCTACAAAATTTTCCCGGTTTTTATGACTACACCTAAAGCTCCTAAACAAAATAATGCAAAGAGAAATTCTTCTGAAAAAGTTATTAATATATGCGTTAGCTCTTATCGACATAGATATATGTTAAATTTTCAGTTATATACGTCGTTATGAACAATTTAAATAAGACTGCTTCCTAATAATAATTAAACCCTAATATTTCTATCCATTTAATTGCTTGATTATAATTTTGGAATATATCCAATCGAAATCTACAAAATGGATTGAAATCGGATACTCTAACCGCATATCTCGGTGGTTAAGGATAAATCAAATATCTATCTGATAGATATTTGAATGGAGAAATTTGTTTAGACTACAATTTTTTTAATACTTAAGCGGCCTTCATTTGGAATTATTTTAAGGGAGATTGAATATTTTGCGAGGAATAACGCATAGAATTTCGAGATCAAAACTAGAAAGCAAAAATCACTTCATTTTTTTTGGGGGTTAAATGACAAACTGACGCTAGGTTAAAAAAACAGAGAGCATCCCTTGTGCATCGTGTGCATTTATTTACTAAGTGAAATTGAAGATCGATCGGCCTAATCCATCTAACATCATCGATAAGCAAGTTAATGCTACCTGAAACAAGATACGTTCAGATTTGAAGATCGAGTTCGAATTAGTGAATCGTGTAATTATTCTCCATTAAGTTTGAACAAAGCAAGTGGATCGAGATCGATATTGCACACTTTTGAATTCCGAAAATTAGTTCGATTACCCTAAATGTTATTTTAGCACAAAATCTTTTGTGTACACTTTAGTTTTCTTGGCCTTTTTGCTTTGGTTTTGAGGTGGAATTTTACATCGCTACCGGTAAAGCCTTCACGTTAAAAATCAAAGCACAGTTTCCATGGAAATGTTTATTCTTTTCCCGAGAAAAAAACTCGAATAATCGAGCAACAAATTTAAATAAAAAAATGCCCAAATAAGAAAAAAAAGACAATAAATTTACATCAGTAATCTTAGTTAATTTGATTAATTTCATACTAATTGAGCAATAAATTTAAATAATAAAAATGCGTAAAAATCTCGAAAACTCAAAAAGCAATTGTCAGCACACACTCTACTCACAATCATCTCATTCCAAGAGTTTAATATTTCTGTCCTTTTTGTCATTATTTTTCGAGAGTAGATGCCATGCAAATGAAAGTCTATCTCCTTCCGTAAAAAAAATAATAACGGTGGAAATCTATCAGACGATTTCCAGAATCAGTCATCGAAGAACCGGATAAGGGTTCTTCTATCTTCATTCACTTACCGGATAAGCTTCTCTTTTCGAAAGGTGAGACCTAACTTTACTATATAAGCACGAATTTCTCAACAAACTCGTGCTTTTTTACGTCGAAAATGGCACCTCTGAAGATCCTGCTCGCTCTCGCTACGTTCCTCTTCCTCTTCCGCTCGTTTGCATGCGCCGTCGACGTCTCGCACGACGGCCGGGCCATCACCATCGATGGCAAGAGGAGGGTCTTGCTCTCCGGCTCGATCCACTACCCGCGGTCCACGGCTGAAGTAATGCCCGTTTTCCGCCCGCCTGAGTTCCGTCGATTGATGATCGATAAGATTTTCCTTATTTTGTGTTTTTTTGGTCCGTAGATGTGGCCCGATTTGATCAGGAAGGCGAAAGAAGGCGGGCTGGATGCGATCGAGACGTACGTCTTCTGGGACGTCCACGAGCCGGCCCGTCGCCAGTACGATTTCGACGGGAACCTGGACCTCATAAGGTTCCTGAAGACGGTGCAGGACGAGGGTCTCTATGCGGTCCTCCGGATCGGACCTTACGTCTGCGCGGAATGGAATTACGGGTAAAATCTCGATTTCCATAAGTCGAAACACGCACATATGTTGCACATATTTTGTAGCATAAAATGCATGTATTGAGGTTAATTGTCTTATCGAGCATAACTCTTTGTTTTAGAGGATTCCCCGTATGGTTGCACAATATGCCGGGCATTAAGTTGCGAACTGCCAATGATGTTTTCATGGTCAGTTTACGTTTTTTTTTAAAATTATTCTTTCACACTATTAATGTTTCTTTTTTAATCCTTATATTCGAAAATACGAAAAATTATTTTTGGTTTTATAAATTTCAGAACGAGATGAAGAACTTCACGTCTTTGATCGTGAACATGGCGAAGCAAGAGAACCTTTTCGCATCGCAGGGAGGACCCATCATCCTTGCTCAGGTGCATGAATTTTTTTTCAATTATTTTTCCTTTTTCTGAATTGGACATGAGTAATATTGCTTGTAGATTGTAAATTATTAAGCTAATGAAATGTATATATATTTTTTTGTAATTTTGTTAGATTGAAAACGAGTACGGCAACGTGATGTCCTCCTATGGAGATGCCGGGAAAGCTTATATCGATTGGTGCGCGAACATGGCCGTGTCGCAAGACATCGGTGTCCCGTGGATTATGTGCCAACAAAGCGATGCTCCGCAACCCATGGTAAAAAATCGTATTTTTATTTGGAATTTGGCCATTTCCGAGGATTTATTATTTTCTAAGTTGGATTTTAATCAAAATATCTCCTTTCAGAATTATAACATGGCTACCATATTTGCACTGATTTTCCCTATGATAAAGACATGGCTCGGTTTATTAGTAAGAATCATTTATATGATCAATTTGCAAATTCCTAATCTACTCTAAGGTGGTTGTGTTTCTTTCACGGAAAATTCAAGATTTTGGAAAATATTTTCGAAAAAATGATCTTTTATATCACTTACAAAAATAAATAAATGGAAAATATTTTCGTTACCTACGAAAATAGTTAGGCATATATTATTATTAATGGTGAAAACATTTTCCGTAAACCATACAACCAATCATTTTTTGAAAAGTATTTTCCAAATCTTGAGTTTTCCATGAAACAAAAGCAACCTAAAGCATTCCCTAAAATTTGCAAAAACATGTTTGATTAATTTGCAAAAAAAAAAAAAGGTTAGATGCCATTATCTATTTTTATTATCAGTAAGCTTATTAGCTTGTTTAATGTATTGATTATTGTCATTTAATGTGTATAATTTTGAAGATAATAACAGTTTGACATTTGATTTTGTTTTTATTCCTCAATCTCAAACTTAAAATGTGGATAAGGCTTTATTCCATCATTAAGGGGGGCAATATTTAATTTGAGATTCTTCTTGTATTTGTACTTCTGTATGTTTGAATACTAGATCTCAATGTCCTTTTAATTATATTTAGTATCGTGAATAATCTGCGATTTATCTGGTAGAATAAGACTTTTAATTATCCTTTGGCTAACAATTTATGGTTATTTGATCAGATTAACACGTGTAATGGTTGGTACTGCGACCAATTCACTCCAAACAATCCCGATAGCCCTAAAATGTGGACCGAAAATTGGACCGGCTGGTGAGTCGCTCGTCTCAATTAATTTAATTAATTAATTAATTTTTTGCATTTTCTTTCTTTAATTCAAGAAAATATTTGCGATCGATATTTTACGTTTTTGCAATGTGATTTTAGGTTCAAGAGTTGGGGCGGGCTGGACCCGCACAGGACGGTGGAGGACTTGGCTTTCGCCGTCGCTAGGTTTTACCAGACCGGAGGCACATTCCAAAATTACTACATGGTAAATCCTAACAAATGATGATTTACATATTTCTTTCGTGTTTATAATCCGATTTTTTACATGACTTGTTTTCATTTTTCTCTCGATTTTAAGTATCACGGCGGCACCAATTTTGGTAGAACAGCCGGGGGTCCGTACATCACGACCTCTTACGACTACGACGCGCCTCTCGATGAATACGGTGAGCGCATAATAATGTTAATAATGTGATTATAATTATCCATGCATCAGAAATATATTAATCATAGACTAATCTTTTGTCTTTAAATAAAAATAAATTTTGCATTAAGGTAATCTAAATCAGCCGAAGTGGGGTCATCTAAAGGAGCTTCACGATATGCTGCACTCGGTCGAGTACACTCTGACCAATGGCAACATCACCAACGTTGATCTAGGCAACTCAGTCTATGTAAGATTAACATCTACTTTGTATAGTAATTAATTATTGAAAATATATAAATGGATATATTTATCGAAGCATCGGAATTTTTTGTTTTTGTTTTTATCGCCGTAATGCAGGCCACGGTTTACGCGACGCCGCAGCAAACGACCTGCTTCCTGGGGAACACGAACGCGACTTCCGACGCCACCTTCGTCTTCCAGGGCAAGCAGTTCACGGTCCCCGCGTGGTCCGTCAGCATCCTCCCCGATTGCCAGAACGAAGGGTATAACACCGCGAAGGTAATTTTATTGATCGCTTTCCACAGACGAAATTAGTTTATGCATATATGTATATATGCAACATTTTTTTGTATAAGTCATCGCAAAATTTCAGGTGAATGCACAAACTTCGGTGATGGTGAAGGAGCCAAACAAGGCTGAGAGCCAACCTGAGTCCTTGAGCTGGACGTGGAGGCCCGAGATCGTGGATGATCAGGTTGTCCTCGGAAAGGGACATGTCGCTGCTCATCGGCTTGTCGACCAAAAAGATGCTGCCAATGGTGCTAGTGATTATTTGTGGTACATGACCAGGTAATTTGATCGTTCTAATTTGATTAAATCAGTTTTTCGCTATTGTACTCCGATGCGTCGCCCGCCCACTTTCTCTCTATATCGGCAATAGTTTCAACTCGATGGTGAAGTTGTCCTTTCTTGTAATAGCGTTAACCTGAAAGACGATGACCCGATCTGGAGCGACAATATGACTCTCCGAGTGAATTGCACTGGCCAGATACTTCATGCCTTCGTTAACGGACAATCCATTGGTAAAGAAAATATGGCACGGTTTCCTTTTTTTTTCATCGGTGATACGTTCCAGATTGATGTGGATATGAGTAATGCTCTTTTTTCTCATTGACGAAACATTAGGTTCTCAATGGGCCCTGTATGGAGATTTCCACTACGTTTTCGAGCAGAATGTTAAGTTGAATCCGGGGAACAATCTGATCTCCTTGCTTAGCGTCACCGTTGGACTCCAGGTACATACATAGTCCACGGACAATTCAATCTTAGAAAAACCCATATATTCAAATTCTTCTATTAATTGCTTTTTAATCACTGATGATTCGCGATCCTTGCGGAAACAGAATTACGGTCCAATGTTTGATCTGGTCCAAAACGGGATACCCGGTCCGGTGGAGATCGTGGGAAGGAAAGGCGACGAGAGAGTGATCAAGGACCTATCGGGTCACGTGTGGTCCTACAAGGTCGGACTGCACGGCATCAACAACAAGCTCTTCAGCGTCGACTCGGCCTCGGCCTCTAACTGGCAAAGCAAGGACCTTCCTACCAACCGGACCATGACTTGGTACAAGGTAAAACCCACATCATTCATAGATTTTCAACTGATCCCTCAATGATAATCCTCGTTTGCACGCGCTTAAACCTTGATTAGTTAGTGATAATCGCTATCGTCTGTCTTGGGTGCTAGACCACGTTCAAAGTTCCACTGGGGACGGACCCGGTGGCGGTGGACTTGCAAGGGCTGGGCAAGGGCGAGGCTTGGGTCAACGGCAAGAGCATCGGCCGCTACTGGCCCAGCTACGATGCTGGTTCAGATGGCTGCAGCACCGACCCTTGTGACTACCGTGGCCCTTACGACAACAACAAGTGTGTCTCCAACTGCGGTCGCCCCACTCAAAGATGGTGAGCAAACAGGAAATTCCCCTCAAAGAATTCCAAAAGAGAAATCAGTGGTTTTTATGGCTTGCTTTTCTTCCTCTCTTGTGATTAGGTACCATGTCCCAAGATCGTTCATGGAGGAGGACGTGAACACGCTGGTGCTATTCGAGGAGTTTGGCGGCAACCCGTCCCTGGTGAACTTCCAGACGGTCACCGTCGGATCCGTCTGCGCCCACGCCTACGAGAAGAAGACCCTCGAGCTCGCGTGCCAGGACCGCCCCATCTCCGCCGCCAAGTTCGCCAGCTTCGGCGACCCGCAAGGCGCATGCGGGTCCTTTGCAAAGGGCAGCTGCGAAGGGAGCAACGACGCGATGGCCGTCCTCCAAAATGTAAATTCTTTTCTTCCTTCCTGTTTTTTCACCCTATCTTCGTTTTGCAAAGTTTTACTTGGATTCCAAATATGTTACAACTTTTCTAACATAACCTTTATGTAACTTTTTGGGATCTTGTAGGCTTGTGTTGGCAAGCAGAATTGTTCCATCGATGTCTCCGAAAACACTTTCGGGCCGACGACTTGCGGATCCATTACCAAGAGGCTGGCGGTGGAGGTCACTTGCTAGCATCTTCGTTTCACTCTTTTTCTTAGGAATAAATGTCATCATTAGTTTAGTCAATCGTGTTAAACTTCCCTGCTTTCTTCCTTCTTGATAAAGCAGGTTTAGTTTCTCTATTAGGTTCTCGTCAAAATTTCAAAATTACATACTTGTCGGAGGATTCTCAGTTGTTAGGGTTTTGTGAATAATTTTGGTAGTTTTCTCTTTCTGATATCTCTTTTCATATGCTCGTTTTGTTGTTTCCACCGTCGTCTGTCGATTCTGAAGGCAACAACGCGCGTGTGCATGTGCTTGTACAGCAACTTCAGTAAATTATGCAACATAATCATTAATTTGAGTGAGCTGTTTTACGTTTAGGGAGGTGTTATTAAGGTATAAGGAATCATAAAAGAAATAAAAAGTCACCCACAAGAAAATATTTTCCGTGGCTTTTCGATACACGATTAATTTGAAGATCGGTGTTGGAATCTTAACTTTACAGAAGAGAAAAAAAGGAGTTCTCTGTGGATTTCATAGACGCCAAAACTGCACAACTGCTAAATATGTAAATATGTCGAAACAAGAGAGGAAAAGAAAAACTCAGGGCGGATTCAGAGAGAATGCATAAGACCCGAAAGCTCCATGCCCCGTCCCAAAGTAACACCCGTCCGTCGCGAACGCACTAATGCCCTCTCCGCCGCAGCCGCTGCTTTCTGGAGCGATCTGCAGAACATCTGGCGAGCGGCCGCCGCAAGGCTCCACGCCGGTGCGCGTAGAAGTCTCCGTAGGCGGAGCCACTCCATGGCCACGAGCATGCCTAGCAGCAGCCATCTGGACCTGGGAAGCCGAGACTCCTCCTCTGTCGGCCGAGAAGGGGATATCGGGCTGCACGTCGGGGAAATTGAGGAGGGCGGACGGCCCCCGGAGGTAGGACACGGCGGCATCGTAGGCCCTCCCCGCCTCCTCTGCGGTGACGTAGGAGCCGAGCCAGATGCGGTCCCGGCTGTTGGGCCGCCGTATCTCCGCCACCCACTTCCCCCACTTCCGCATCCTCACTCCCTTGTAACGGCGGCGACAAGCTCGCGAGACAGCCCCCCGCGCGTCGGAGCCGTCGCTCGTCTCCTCCGCTCCGTCACTTCGCACCATGTCGACACAAGCAACGCCGACGTACGGCGCGGTCGCGGCGACGCTTTATACAGAGATGGGGGGAGGAGGAGGAGTAGGAGTGGGAGTAGCAGAAGTTGGTGGGTGCTCGACGCGTGGCGGTTCCGGAGAGCGGGAGCCGCAACTTTGCTGGCGAGTCTGTACTGGAGCGACGGGGAGGTGACAGGTGGGCGCTCGCAGGACCGCTCGACGTTTGACGTCAACGCAATCCCTCGCCGCGTCGCCATGTGGCGGGCGACGCGACGCCCGGCTGCTGGTGAGGGGATACGTGGGACGCGGGGCAATGGGAAGGTTCCAAGAGTGGCGCGTGCGATCCCTTTTCATGTTTCGCTAATTTTGAGGAAGGTCAAAGCCGAGGTGGTCGTGCTGTCAAATTTGTCCACGCGACGTCTTCCGCGGCCTACCGGTTACACGCGTGTACAGTCGTCGGGCGAAAAGACACGGAAGGAAAGGAATGAGCACGTGTAGCGTAGAGGCGGTCTTCGTCGGGCAAAGCAGGGTCCAAGGGTTCGTAGCATCGCCGAATTTAAATCATTTTTATTCATGAGTAACAAAATAAAAAAGATTAGTTTCGTGTTTCACCCTTTTTGGTTTTGCTTCCATTTGAACTAATCAATTTAATTAAAGAATGTCCAAGAACTACAAGTGTAAAGTATTGGACTTTCTCCTCGAAGGATAAGAGCGAGCTTCGAAAGATGACCGTGCTAAAAACTGGTCAACTCAGAGACAGAAAGGGCGGAGCAAAAGGATGATGGTCGACCCGAGCGATTTCCGCAGCCGCCGGGTGCACAGATCTTGTCAAAACTCCGGCGACTAAAACTTGAACAGAATCCGACCCGGTTTTCAACGCTTTGGTGCGCTTCTAGAAATTCCATAGGAAGGAGTCTTGGACGGGAAGACCATCGAAGTTCTCGTCACCGAACCCCACGTTGGGCATGGTGGACGCGCCGAAGTAATCGTTCGTCGTGAACTCGTCGTAGCCCGAATACAACCCGTAATCCGTCGCGTAATTGCCCGAGCCCATGTTGCCGGTCAGGAGATCCTGAAACCGGCCGCCCATGTTCATGTCCATGCCCCAATCGCAGTCCATCTGGACCGTCCCTTCCGATACCGACGGGGAGGCCGACTCGGCCTGTACGTCGCTCGCCGCCGGATGATACTCCGAGCTGAGGTTGTGGTCACTATTTCTCCTCGGGGGTTCCGAGGCCGACGCGGCCGCCGCCGCAGCCGGGGCGGCCGAGTTGGCGAACCGGGCGGCGGCGACCTGGATCTCGTGCGGGGCGAGGGAGCGGCCGCCGGCGATGTCCGGGGGGTCGTCGGGGAAGTTGAAGCGGGCGTTGCGGCCGCGGAGGCAGAACTGGGCGGCGTCGAAGGCGCGGGCGGCCTTCTCGGCGGAGTTGTAGGAGCCGAGCCAGATGCGCTCGCGGCTGTTGGGGAGGCGGATCTCGGACACCCACTTGCCCCACTTCCGCTTCCGCACCCCCTTGTACTTGGAATCGCCCGAATCCGCCGGATTCTCGCCCGCCCCCGCACCCGCACCCGCTCCCGCCGCCGCCGCCGCTACCTCTCTGGCCATCTCCGACATAAACCTCAGAAAGCAAACCGAGCTCGGAGAAGGTTCAAAATTCGGTTTCTTGTGTTATGGGTCGCTCTGGATGTGGAAGCAGGAAGTGAGTGAAGCGAGCTGAGCTGAGCAGAGTGTCTGTTTTTGGGAGGGAGGATGAGTTTGGGATGATGAGTTTGGGGATTTTGCGGCTGGTGGGGGTATATGTAGGTGATGGTGGAGGAGGGACTGAGGATTTGGACTGGGGGAAGATGAGTGGGTCAAAAGGCGCGTATTGTTTATCATTGTTCGACGTTTTTTTTTTTTTAAGGGATCAAAAGAAGAGGGATGATGTGGCTGGTGACGACGGAAGGAAGGCATGATAAGGGGTTTAACGCGGGGGTAGGAAGTGAGGGGAGGTGGGACATGAATTAAGGTGCGGAAATTTTTTAAAGAGGGGTGAGGGACCACGTGTGGTTTATGTTCCCCGTGCTGAAATTGGAAGTGTCCTTTTTTTTTTTTATTTTGTGCGTGCAGATTTAGAGAGAGAGAGTAGGAAGACGACAAAGACCAGGGTGCTTCCCGGTTATGGGGGGGGGGGGGGCCAAAGGACGCCGGGGCATTGGCCTAATTCCCTAGAGAATGCCCAACTTTAGATCCAGTTTTAAATTTGTCCTGAATTTTTTTTTTTGTTTGAAAAAAACCCCAAAACTTTAGATTTAGTCCTAAATTTGATTCGAATATTTTTTTTGTCTCAGAAAAAATTTCAAACTTTAAGTCCAATCCTAAATCTGCCCCGAATTTTGTTTTGTGCAAAAGAAAAATTCACCAAAATTCTATTTATTTTAAAAAATACACTACCGTTATCCACGTCGATCACAAATCCACATCAACAAAGTAATGGGGTTTTTTTTTTTAGACAAAGAAAAGTTCGGGGCGAATTGGGACTGAACCTAAAAATTGAGTTCTTTTAAAATTAAAAATTTTTTTGGGGTGAATTTGTTATCGTCACTAACTTTCATATCCTAGAACGGTTTTATTTTGGAGAATTTCAATAATTTTTATTGGGTTGGATTTATTATCGAAGTGGAAATGCGACGTTGATCTATACCTACGCCCCATTACTTTGTTGATGTGGATTTGTGACGGACGTGGAAGTGCCACGTCAAGTTGGGACTAGATCATGATGGTATATTTTTTAAAATAAATTGAAATTTGCTGATTTTATTACACAAAACAAAATGCATGGTAGATTTGGGACTGAACTTAAAATTTGGGATATTTTCCGAAACAAAAAAAAGTTCGGAGTAGATTTAAGACTGAATCTAAAGTTCGGGGTATTTTCTGAGACAAAAAAAAGTTCGAAGTAGATTTGGGACTTGACCTAAAGTTGGGGGTTTTTTAAGAAATTCACCCCCGGGGCATGGGGGGGGACAACGGATTGGGCTTTTCTCGTGTCCCGTATTATGTTGGTGCTCTACACAAGCCGGCTTTTCGATATGGTCTCGGTGAGGTCAAAAACAGTATGTTTGATGGCTACTTGGCCAAGGGTGGTTTGCATGCAGGTCCCGGTCCAACTGGAAACCAGCTGTTTCTGGTTCTTGCTCGTCCGGTTAGGTCGTAGCTGGTTCTGCCAGTCCGGTCCGACACACACACTCTGGGTTGGTTTTGCCGGTTCGATCCGATCCGATCGATTCGCGCGCGCGCACATATATAGCAAAGACCAAACAAACACACATTTAAAAAAGAGAGAACTAGGCGGCGAGGGCTTTGCAGGCCATCACCCAGTTCTAACTAAAGGCCGCCACTGGCGGGGATTGCTGGCCCCTGGTCCGGACTCGGCGACCCCCAGCGACCATTCCCCACCATCGCCGACCCTTCCCTGCGATAGTGGGGCGGCCCTCGCCGATTGGTTCTAACTCTCCTTTATTGTTAAGAAAAAAAATTAGCTTACTTTCTTAAATTTAATTTAAATAAAATGTGTATTAAAAATTGGATTTGAATCGAAATGACGTCGTTTTAGGATCATGTTTCGTTTTCTAGCCACGTCAATGCTACGCGGAAGAGAGAAAATATTTATTAAAAAAAGTCACGTCATCATTTTCCATTAACTAAGTTGGACGAAATTAACGAAAGGATTCGATTATACCAATTTGATAAGTTTTATGACTTAGTTGCACTTTTTGCAAGTCCTACGACTCAATCGCATTTTAATGGCAAATTTGAAGACTTTCTCAATGCACATACCTCTATAGTAATTTGTTCGTTATTAAACATGTTAAATATGTATCAAGCGGACCGCTCGTTAACGAAATATGTCATACGTTTTTATCGCCCTCAACATCAACTCAAGGGGGGCGACCAAAAGCAAGCGACATGGAAGCAACGCTTGCTGACTGCGATTGATCCGTGGGATGCCCATAAAGTACAAGAAATCATGGATCGAGGTACACCATCAAAAAAAAGTCGTCATTGATTGATCACGTCCCGTTTCAGGTCATCTTATCTAGAGAAGCTCCACGGATGCTTCTCTCGAGTTAAAAAAAAACACCTATCAAAACGTTGCGTCGTTTTCGAGAGGGTTGCGTCATCAGCACCGTCAGCAACGGATTCATGAACTTTCGCCCCCGTCCCGTGCGACTTCTCGTATTGGCACGTCGGATCGAGAGCAAAAGCGCCCGGCCCCACCGCCACCACCCCTCCTTCAACCTCCAACGGACGCGGTTGTTATCTCTGAAACGACACCCGCAGTCTTCAGAAACTTCGCCACTCGCAGTCATTACGCAATTAAATCAATTTCTTTTTGTTCGGACCTATCCTGTTACTATATTACAAGCTACCATGTTTTTTTTTTTTTTGGTTAAAACAAGCTACCATGTTTGTATTATGAGCTGTGCACGAGGTTCCAAATCCGGGCCCCTCACTCACGCGTCTTCACCTCCAGCCCCTCTTAGAAGGTAAGAAATCGAACTCCCCGAAAAATAAAAACTTCAAATTGACCAGATTTGCTCTTATTTATGCAATTTGATACTCGAACTTTTATTTATTTTTACTCAATCGAATATCTCTATTTTCAAAATACGGCTTCATGTCAAATTCATTAGGGAAAATACCAAAAAAAGTGTTAAACCTATTCATTGGGATCAATTCAGTTTTAAATCTTTCAATTGAACCAATTTAGTCCTGAACCTTTTGAAATTTGTGCGAATTGAGTCCATTCGGCCAATCTTGGTTGGAAATCTCTAACGTGAACATCGGGCGTCTTACGTGGCATGGCTGGTGCTGATGTGGATAATTTTTTAATTCTTTCTAAAAAAAAATTGAATTTTTAATTATTTTTCTTCTTTTTTTTTCTTTCATTTTGGCTGGGGACGAGGGCTACCTTGCTTGCGACCGGCGAGACAGCAACCCTCGCCAGCCAAAATAAAAAGAAAGAAAAAACAATAAAACAATAAAAATAATAAAAGATAATAAACAATTCAAACTATTATTACGAATGTCTACGTTAGTGCCGGCCATGCCACGTAGGATGGTCAATGTCCACTCAGCGATTTCCGGCCAAAATCGATCGAATGGACTCAATTGGCACAAATGCAAAAAGGTTGGGACTAAATTGTTCGGGACTAAATTGGTCCAATTAAAAGGTTTGGAACTAAATTGATAGCAATGCAATTGGTTAAAGACTTTTTTGGTACTTGCCCCCATATTCATTACCTTACATCACGTGATTTTCGGCCTCATGCAAGACCAAACCATGTATAGGTAACGGGCGAACAATTGTGTCATTCTCTTTAATAGAGGATGTCAACAATTTTAGGTCGCGCACCTCACATATAGAAGACATGGCCTCGACATTAAGGCGCAATCTCTTGAGATTCATATAAGAAGGTCGAGTTGTAATTGAGGGTGATGTGGTAGTGTTTGTCGCGGTGACGTCCAAAGTTTGCGGTTGTGGTAGTGGTCGTGTTTGCATTGCCGACGATTGAGGTCGATGGTTATGGCGGTAGCCGAATGTGTTGCTAATGGTGGTGGGGTGGCCGAGCCGTGTGTTGGTGGTGGTTTTGGAGTCCATGGCAGTGGTGTTTGCGCCATGGCGATTGGAAGTGGGTTAGGGTATGGCAGTCCATCTTGGTAACGTCGAAGACAACGAAGCCGTGGTCATAGGCGAAGGAGGAAGAAGAAAAAAGAAAGAGAAAATATTCTTTTCGTGTTGATGTAATCGTCGTTCTGTAGTCTGTCCATCGAAATCACTGAAAATCATGCGGGCAAATAAATTAGTTATCAATGTGTAATTAATATGTATTATGGGGTTTTTCTGTAATTATAATTTTATCTGTACCCTAACGGTAATCAATTGCTCTTGTGAATACATATCACACAACTCTAATTAGAGCCAAGCTGTCATAAAACTTTGTCTGTTATTCTCTCTCTGATTCTAGTAGCCTTTTGAAAGTTGAGATACTTAATCGAACAAGAAGACATTCAGGGTTCCATATTACTAACGACTAAGGGTACAAATCTTTTGCAGTGTCACCTCCCCTGATTTGAATATAATGAATGTTGTGTAGGCGTTATGCGCAATCAATATTTTGAAAATTAAAGCATTCTTTTGTAATCAGTGTTTTGAAAATCGAAACATTCCTTATTAACGACTATACTTAACAAGTATTTGGAAGACACTTGTTAAAAGGATCAAATCAATAATGGATTATAACTCAAACTGTTTTATCTATATATGTGATGCATATAGAGAATTATCAGTAAATTGCAGTGCTTCAATTTTTCATTCAATAGATGGAATAGATAATGGGAATTTGATATAGTATAGCATGTGTTGTCACGAATAGAACTTCAACAAGGGAGGAAACAATAAACATATCTACACATGGTTAATAAATACAAACTTTTTAGTGTGTTACACCCTTCGATCGTATTCCACTGAAAAAGAGAAGGTAAAAGTATCTCTCTTTTATACGGTTCATTTGTTGAATAATAGAATCCATGTAAAGTTGAGTGCTAGAAAAATATCGACTCCATAGCTTTTTATGATTATAATGTCTTTATATCATCGTTTAGATTAAATCCCGAATTCATTTATAATATCATAATAACGGTAGAAGTGGAATCACTTTCTTTGTGGGGCTAAGTCGATTTTT